TGTGGGGACGCCCCCCCCCCTAGAAAAAACCCCCCCCAAAAAAAAAAAAAAAAAAAGAGAATACTACTTGGCCATACAAAAACAATAGGATCCTGGCATCCAGTAGTAGAAAGTTGATGAATACGGAAGATATACTGCTAAGCAAAGCATACCAGATTATTAAAGACAAGCATTGTATGTCCCCACTTAATATATACTGAATGTCTGCACTCTGACAGAAACTGAAAGATTAGGAGGTATAAAAGTGTGGAGATCAACTGTGGATACCAGAGACAGTGTGGGAGGAGTGAGGGTGGGAGTGAGGTAATGGGGGGAGGATGCAAAACACACAAATAGAAAATCATCTGTTGATGATAATGTGTATGCTGATATCTTTTGCTAGACAAATATGCAGTGTATTAATGCTGGGAAAATTCATTTTGTACGTTGTAAAGCTGTACAGTGATTAAATGTAAAAAAAAGGAAAGAAAGAAAAGTATATTTTTTAAGAGTAGACTAGTATTTGCCAGAGACTTAAAATCAAAGTTACTTATTCTCCATCAGTACCACAACATAACACAAGCCACATGCAAAAAACCCATAGCTAATATCACAGTTGACGGTGAAAATGGAAAACTTCACTTCTAAGATCAGGGGCGAGATGAAAGTGTCTACTCTCAATGCTTTTTCCCACGCCATATTGAAAGATCTTGCCAGGGCAGTTAGACTAGAAAAAGAAATAGTATCTTGATTACAAAGAAAGAACTAGAACTCTCTATACTCCCAGCTGACACAGTCTCAGGTTTAGAAACACCTAAAGAATTAACAAGGAGAGCAAACCCTCATGGTGCCAGTAAATGATTTCATCACAGTTAAAGGATAGAAAGTCAACTTTGAAAAATCAGCTGTATTTCTTTCATTAGCAACAAATGACCCAAAAAAGATATTATAAAAGCAATTCTATTTACAATGGCATCAAAAATAAAATACTGAGACCAGCAGTTAGCGTAATGGCTATGTCGCTGGACTCCCATGTAGTCAACCGTAGTTCGAGTCCCAGACCCGGTGGCTTAAAACTCATGCCGGGCGCGTGTGCATGCGTGCCCAAGATCCCGAGAGGAGAATGGAGGAGAAGGGATTGTGGCGTGGCCATCCCTCCTGGGGGGTGATTTCTCACTTTCTATCTCTCTGTCTCTCTCTGTCTGTCTGGCAAGCACACGCGCCTTATAGAAAAAAAAAAGAAACAACAACAACAACAAAAACAAACCTCTCCAAATAAAATAAAATAAAATAAAATAAAATAAAATAAAATAAAATACTTAGCCATAAGTTCAACCAAATTAATGCAAAGCTTATACATTGAACATACAATGTATTCACACTGGGAAAATGTATGCTGTAAAGCTAAATAGTGATTGTATGGGGGAACCAGCAGTTAGCGTAATGGCTATGTCGCTGGACTCCCACGTAGTCGACCGCGGTTCGCGTCCCGGACCCGGTGGCTTAAAACTCACACCGGGCACGTGTGCGTGCGTGCCCAAGATCCCGAGAGGAGAATGGAGGAGAAGGGATTGCAGCGTGACCATCCCCGCTGGGGGGTGATTTCTCGCTTTCTGTCTCTATGTCTCTCTCTGTCTGTCTGGCGAGCGCACGCGCCCTATAGTGAAAATCTCTCCAAAAAAAAAAAAAAAAAAAAGATAAATAGTGATTGTATGTAAAACAATGAAATAAAATAATAACAATTTAAAAACCACTGCAAACATTGCTGAAAGAAATTAAGTCAAGGTCTGGTTCCATGGTGTAGACGTAACGCACTACTGCAGAGAAGCAGCCAGATTCTGCATGGTGACTGTGGCTCCAATCCCTGCCATAGTGAGCCCGAAACATGCTGGGCACAGGTGCAGGTGCCCGAGATTTGAGGGCTGAGAGGGCTGGAGGAAAGGGGCCGCGGCATGGTCAGACCCAGTGGAGGATGCTCATCTCCTCGTTTCTCTCTCTCACTGCCTCTCTAATATGCACATGTTCTATCAAGAATAAAAAGAAAAAAATTTAAAAGTGTTAAATAAATGAAAATATATCCTATGCTCATGGATTAAAGACTTAATACTGTACAGATGCCAATTATTCCTGAAGTAAGGGATTAATTCCTGTCAAAATCCCAGTGATAGGGATTTTCCAGAAATAAAAACCTGATCCTAGAATTAATACAGAATTGTAAAGGAACCTTGAGTGACTAAAACAATCTTGAAAACAAACCACTTTCAGTGACCCTTACCCAGTTTCAAAACTCACTACGAAACTACAGAAATCAAAACAGTGTGGTAATGACACACGGCAGGCATACAGAGTAGGGAAATAGAATTAAGCTTCCACAAATAAACATACGCGTTTGTAATGGGCTGATTTCTTACAAGGGCGTCAAGACCATTCAACGAGGGAAAACGGTCTTTAAATAAATGGTGCTGGACAATTGGATATACGTATGCAAAAGAATGGACCCATATCTCACCTCATATAAAAATTAACATGAAATTGGCCAAGACTTCAATGCAAGAGTTATAAATATAAAACTGTTAGAAAAATAGGTGTGGGGCCTAACAGTGCAGAAGTAAAACACAAAGCTCTGCAATGCCACCCCACACGAGAAGGTTCTTGGTTCAAGTCCAGAGATCCCCCTGAGGATGCTGGGCATATGCTTACCCATGACTCAGACCTGGCTGAAGGCGGAGGGTGGACTGAGACATCAAGACTCTGTTGGAGATGCTTTCTCTCTCTCTCTTTCTCTTGCCTGTGGGAGAAATACATACATTTGTTCATAAAGAAGGATGTGAGCGTCTATTTTCATTACCCTGGACTAGGCAATCGTCTCTTAAATTTGACACTAAAAGCACAGCCAAAACCAGAAATAATTTGGACTTTATAAAAATAAAAGATGTGGAGGACCAGCAGTTGGAGTAATGGCCATGTTGCTGGACTCCCATGTAGTCAACCATGGTTTGAGTCCTGGACATGGTGGCTTAAACTCACACCGGGCGCTTGTGTGTGCATGCCCAAGATCCCGAGAGGAGAATGGAGAAGAAGGGATTGCGGTGTGGCCATCCCCCCTGGGGAGTGATTTCTCATCGTCTCTCTGTCTCTCTCTGTCTTTCTGGTGAGTGCACGTACCCTATAACAAAAACCTCTCCAATAAAAAAAAAGTGTGTGTTTCAAAGGAAACTATTAAGAAAATGACAACACAGCCAGCAGAATGGGAGAAAATATTTTCAAGTCAAGTATGTAATAAAGGCTTAGTACCCAGGATATATACAAAACACAGTCCAACGAGAAGACAATAAAACTGACTTTAAAAACGTACAAAGAACTTGAGAAGACGTTTCTCCAAAGAAGCTCTATAAATGGCCAGTAATCACACGAGAAGATGCTCCAGAAGCTGCTCAGGAAAACTCAGGAAGCCTCAGTGGACTAGCGCTGTGTGCTCATTAGCACGGCAGTAGTAACGAGCATAACAATGACCACAGCAGGGTCCACTGGCACCCTCAGACATCGTGGTTGGGTGTGAACGGGGAGCCACTGTGCAAAATAGTTGGGCAGCGCCCAGGCATGAAATTAAAAAAGCCAGTAATTCCACTTCTAGATAAGCGCCCAGGGCATGCATCTCACGGGGACCTCTACTGACTATATGCTTGAGGAAAGGGGCTTGATCATTTTTCTTTATGGGCAGGAAGGAGAGAAATCAAGAGGAGAAAAAGCAAAATATTTAACAAACACAAAAATGGAGAATTATCTGTTGATACTGGGCATGGATGGTGATATCTTTGAATGGACTAATATACAATATATTCATGCTGGGAAAATTCATTTTGTATGCTATAAATATGTACAGTATTTTTTTTGTTTTGTTTTTTTAGAGAGGTTTTTGCTATAGGGCACGTGTGCTCGCCAGACAGACAGAGAGAGACATAGAGACAGAAAGCGAGAAATCACCCCCCAGGGGGGATGGTCACACCGCAATCCCTTCTCCTCCATTCTTCTCTCGGGATCTTGGGCACGCACGCACATGCGCCCGGTGTGAGTTTAAGCCACCGGGTCTGGGATGCAAACTGTGTTCGACTACATGAGAGTTCAGCGACATAGCCATTACGCTAACTGCTGGTCCCTTACAATGATTATAGCCATTACGCTAACTGCTAGTCCCTTACAATGAGCAAATTTTAAAAAATAAAAAAATAAAAGAAAGAAAAAAATTTAACCTCACCAAACTTAATATTTATCTTCAAAGTTTACTTATTTCTTCCATGATGGACACACAGAGACTCCCGACAGTGCCCTTCTGCCATGCCCCACCCCAGGCGCAGCCAGCCTGGGTCAGGCATATGTGTGCCCAGCACACACAGAGAGGCCGTGGGAAGTGAAGCCAGGACCTTCCCACGTGGGTACAGTTGCACCAGCACTGCACCACCAAGTGGCTCCATGAAATGGTGTTCTGAAGAGACCAATGTCTTCTTCCATGCATTATTTCGTTATTTATAAACTATTCATTTATTGCCAACGATGTATCAGACATTGTTCTGAATTTGAGAGAGGCAAAGCGTGGGTACTCTCCTGGTGAACTACCTTTGACTTAATAAAGGAAAAAGCAGGTGCAGAGGACCTTAAAAATGTTTTATTCGAATCTCAACACTAATGCAGATAATGTTCCACAGAAATGCATTATAGGAAATAAAACTATATTCAAGGATATTTTTTCTAGTTCAGTATGATCAGACCTTATTCTTAACCCAAATTCTGCCAACCCTCATTTTAATAAGGTTCTCCTCGATAACTTTCCGGTGAAGCTGCCTCGTTTAGTAGCAGGTATTACTATCATACGCTGTAAGTAGCTAATATTTACCTTGATCTTTGCTGAAATTAGGGGAAGGACGGCTCTTGATGGCATATTGGGGACCGGCTGGACTGCCTGGGAGCCCGGGAAGAGGCCTCTCGCAAGGAGGGCACGGCTCCTGCGGCGTACACAGGGCGCGCACCCCGCCACCATGGAGGGCTGTTTCCTCTGTGCTGAGACAGCCCTTCCGCCTCTTCCCGCCAGTCACTCCCGCCAGCACGCCGGTTCTTGGTCCTGGACGTGGCTTTCAGGGTTTGCCAAAAGGACGGCAAACACAAAACCAAGACCTCGTGCCAGCAGGGGACTGCAGTCCCTGAGCTCACTGCCAGCACCGGGGAGGCTGAGGGAGCACACGCCAGCCCCCGAGGGAAGTGAGAGCGGACGAGAGGGAAGGAAGCCGCGGAACCAGCTGGGTCTCCCTCGATTGGGACATCTCGAGATTTCGGATCTTTGTTTCGTTGTTAAGGATGATGATGCCTATTTAATTTGGTGTATTTAATGCAACTTTGGTACCTGAAAGAAAACAATCTGTATTCTAATAATTTACTAGTGGAATCGCGACTTAAAATGGAAGGGACCGTAAGTTACTGAACTCTAGTCTCTTGGGCAATACTTAGCCTAGGAGGGAAAGATCATGGAAGCACTGTGTGTGCTGTCACACTCCCCAGGACCTGCAGGGCTTCCGCTGTGCGCAGACCGACAGCTGTTACCTCCTGAACACCGCCTTTCCTTTGACAACTTCCTTTTTCTTTTTTTTTTTTGGAGAGAAATTTTTTTTTTAGCTATAGGGCACGTACGCTCGTCAGAGAGACAGAGAGAGAGAAAGTGAGAAATCACTCCCCGGGGGGATGGCCATGCCACAATCCCTTCTCCTCCTTTCTCCTTTCAGGCTTTTGGACACACATGCACACGCACCTGGTGTGAGCTTTAAGCTGCTGGGTCTGGGACTCGAACTGTGGTCAACTCTGAGAGTTCAGCAATGTAACAGTTACACCATCTGCTGGTCCGAACTGAACTTTCTTACACTTCCTTTTCCATATAATCTTACCGTACACCGAAGACAATTTGATACGTCAAAACCTCCCACTCAGTAAGCGTCATGTTGCCTTTCTGAGACTTTGCCAATTCCGGCCTCAGGTCTTCGGGTACCAACTTCTGGTTTCTTTCCAAGTGGAGACTCCCGCTTTTCCCTCTCTGCGGTCAGGGCCTTCAGC